AAGGGGAGGGGGAGTCAAAAATTAAAAGCAAATGTCAGTAAAAAAAAACAGATTAAAAGAATTTGAAAATTGAAAGCTACGCTGGGAACCGGGCAAAAAAAAAAAAAAAAAACACCTACTGTCCTGCCAGAACGAACAGATGGGAGCTGTTTTTTTTTTTTTTTTTTTTTTTTTTTAATAAGAAAACTACGAATCATACGTCAGGACTCAGGACTTCACTTTATGATATAGCGCGGACAGGGGTGGGAACGGGTGCAATAGGGCCTCGCTGCACTACTCTCCACATGCACAAAAGACAAAAAATGCGGCGGTGCATCTTTCCATGTTCTAGCAGAAGATTCATTCCGGTTTTGCACATTTGGAGAGTAGTGCAGCGAGAGGCCCATAGCTGTGCAATGGCAAGCTCTGAGCTTTCCCTCATTCTGTTACGAGGAGTTGCGTTCGAGATTGTTTACCCACATGTGTGTATGTTGTGGGTCCTGGTCGAAGATGGCCGTGTGATTGCTGTCGCCTGGGGAGATCACCTTCTGTACAAGTTTCATATGGGACACTGGGCCCGGTTCCCAGCATGCGCTGCGCCCGGGAATAGAGTGGAGCTGTGTTCCAGAAAAAAAAAAAAAAAAAAAAAAAAAGAAGCGGCGCAGAGAAAAGAATGGAAAAAAAGGCGGTTTCTGCCATAAGCAATAGACAGGTGATAAGGACGCAAGGGCGGATCGTGAGCTATGACGGGTGACGAGGATGCGAAGGCAGAAAGAGGCCATAAGCAAAAAGAAGGTGGTTTCTTCCATAAGCAATAGATGTGTGATGAGGATGCGAGGGCAGAAAGAGGCCTTGAGCTATGTGTGCGGTTTCTGCCATAAGCAATAGACAAGTGATGAGCACGCGAGGGCGACCCACTACCGTCTATATTGCTTTCTAGCAGCCCAGAGAAAAGAATGAAAAAAGAAGAAAATTGCATTGTGAGTGTTCTGCATTTCCATGATTACCACTGACAACGGAAGAAGAGGTACAGACGAAGCCACCTTCTTCCCCCAAATCCAACGTACGGTCATTATTGATGCATCTAGACTCAATGCTGCCCCAAATACAGCTATAATTAGTAATTAACGTACGTTGTATTCCAGGGAAGAAAGTAGCTCAAGGCCTCTTTCTGCCATAAGCAATAGACAGGTGACGAGGACGCGAGGGCGGATCTTGGGTTGCCAGAATGTGAAGGCGGTTTTGAGCGTTAATGATACTCGATCATTTCCAATAAACTTTTTTCATGCTCATCTCGTTTCCATTCAAGTCCGTCATGAACGCAATCAGGTCGTGCTGCGTCTCTTCGAGTCTTCATGCTTTTTTTTCTTTTTTTTCCCTCTCTCTCTTGAGTCTGTTCTTTGCGTAACTATCTGATTCATTATTCGTCCAGCAGTGCAGCTACTCAAGTAAGGAAACTTTTTCTTTCCCCACTATTCAGCGAGGGAGAGAACAAAAAACAGCCAAAAAACGACAAGAAAACATATGTAAACCTAGGCAGGCTACCAGAGTGGCCAGGGGCCACTTGCCCGGCCGGGTCAAAAAAAAAAAAAAAAAAAAAAAAAGTTTTCAAGTTTTAACTTTATTTTTTATTTTAAAAACGGTAAAGAGTACTAAAGAGTAGTAAAGACTTTTTTTTTGTTTTTTTATTGAATACTCAAGTCTTTATAAAAGCCAGGAACTGGGCCTGGCGTCCCTCACAAAATTAGGCGGTGCCCTCAGCGGGCAAGGCATCACCAGCCAAGCACATCAAGGGC